GTGGAGAGGCAAGCTGTAGCTGTGACGACGACTGGACAAGCGGTGGACACGCTAAGGAGGGGGCAAGACCAGGAGAAGATGGGAGACCAAGAACCTGCTCAAGGAGCGAAACGAAGTACGGCCGTGGCCTCTCAACACCTCCAGAATCAGCAGGAGCGGCACCAGCACCCACAGCGTCAGCTCCAACTCCAGCAGCACCACCAGCAGCTCCAGCAGCACCTCCAGCAGCTCCAGCACCAGCGGCACCTCCAACTACAGCCGCACCACCAGCAGCTCCAGCAACTCCACCAGCACCTGCAGTAGCTCCAACACCAGTGGCAGCTCCAAATGCAGCAGCACCACCAGGCCCAGAGCTCCAGTACCGCCAGTATGAGCACCTCTAGGACTAGCGGCTCCAGAGCCCCCAGCAGCAGGACCTCCAACGCCCGCAGGACCACCTGCTCCAGCAGCACGGCTCCAACGCCGAGCAAACCACTCGCGCAGCTGCTGAGGGGAGAGCGGCTCCCGACGGGACGCAGCACCCAAAGGACCGCCAGGCAAAGTGCCTCCAGACTCCACACTCGCAGGCTCAGCACCCTCAGGCTCCGCACCCCCAGACTCAGCAACCCCAGGCTCAGCACCCCCAGGCTCCGCACCCCCAGACTCAGTAACCCTAGGCTCAGGACCCCCAGGCTCAGCACCCTCAGGCTCCGCCCCCCCAGTCTCAGCAACCCCAGGCTCAGCACCCTCAGACTCAGTACCCCCAGGCTCCACACGCTCAGGCCCAGCACCCCCAGACTCGGCACCTGCAGGCTCAGCACCTCTAGCAGCACCAGAGTCAACAGCTACCTCGACAGGCTCGACTGCGTCTACCTGGGACACACCTGAGGGAGCAGGACCCTGAGGAGGGAGGGAGTCTACAGGGGGAGGACCTCGCGCAAAGAAGAGCGCCGGGGGAGGAAGGGGGGCAGCGCGGTAGGGGAAGAGATGGTAGTAAGGAAAGAACACGGTGCGAGATGGGGTGGTAAAACTGCCAACCAGGCGAGTCAAGCGGGAAGCCAAGGAAGACGCAGGGGACAGCATGGGAGGACAGCTTGTCCGCAGAGAAGTCGCGGACAAAAGCTCGAGATCCCTACACGGAACGCAGACGCATCGCCAACCTTCCCCGTCCACCGCAGAGTGGGGGAGGTCTCCGGCACAGAGACCTGGTAGTGGAGGTTGATCTGGTGCGCCGCGTACTGAACCGCAAACGGCCATAGAAAATGGGGATTAGCCGCATGGATCATGGACGTACGAGCGACATCCATGACCATGCCAATGCGGCGCTCAGCAATCCCATTTTGCTGTGGAGAGGCCGGAAGCGTGAACGTCTGGCGGATGCCCTCCGCACGACAGAAGGCTCGCAGAAGGCCAGAGGAAAACTCTCCACCTCTGTCGGAGTGCAGGCGCAGAACAGGAAGGTCCGAGCCAAAACTCTCACTGAGTTGATGACGGTGAGCGCGGATCCGGGCGATCAGCACCTCAGGGACCTCACCCTTGCTGCGCAAGGGGAAGACCGTGGTGTAACGCGAGTAGTCATCAACAACCAGCAGAAAGTAGCACTCGTGACCCTGTCCACGGACGCGGGCTGAGCCCCAAACGACCATATGAAGAGTCTGCAGGGGAGCCTCCGTTGGAGGGAACTCGGAGGAGTGAGGAGCGGCGCGCTGCCGCCCTCGACGCAAGGTAGCACGTCGGGGCAGGTGGGCCCTAGGAACAGTTCCCACGAGGGAACCTGCTCGATACCATGAGAAAACTGAAACGAGAATGAATGAACTATGAAAGAAGTGGGTACAAGTACTAACCCTAATTGGGTTGTACCCCCTATGGGATACCCCACTACAGCCTACACAAATGTATAAGCTATATAATGTTCCGACACACCCCCATAGGCAAAGTGGGGGAGAACAAGGGGTCACAAGACCAGTCAAGCAAAGCAAAGCAAAGCAAGCTCAAGGTGGATCTCAAGTCACCACACAGTCCGAGCACAAGGTCAAGGCCACAAGGCCAGTTCACATGCAAGAGTACACATATATATACAGCTAGACAAGCAAGAGTAGGCATATATATATGTAACAGTACAAGCAAGGTCAAGAGGTGAGCAAGTGAGGCAAGGTAGGCACAAGACCCAGCTGAGTGCAGAAGCGCTGATGATCACAAGGCGCAAGAGCCTTGGTGAAAACATCAGCAGTGTTGGCCTAAGAGGCCACGTACGCAAGCCGCAACTGACCACGCTGCTGTAGCTCACGAGCAAGGAAGTAGCGGAGAGCAATGTGCTTTGTTCTGTGCTCCAGTCTCTGCTCTCGACACAAGGCCAGCATGGCCTTGTTGTCTACGTACAGAACTGGAGGAGAACGAGGCGGCTCTCTGAGGTCAGTCAGCAGGTAGGTGAGCCAGCGAAGCTCCTGTGCAGCCATGGCCCCTGCGTAGATCTCGGCCTCACAACTAGAGCCCAGGACAGAAGACGAGCGAGTAGCCCGCCACGAAACAGAGCCGGAACCAAGGCTGAAGGTGTAACCCTGTGACGACCGCTGCGTAGCCTGGTCGTCTGCCCAAGAAGCGTCCGCATGCCCAGTGAGGACCACTGGACTCCGCCCTCCAAGCACTAGCCCCATGCCCGACGTACTGCACAAGTAGCGCAACACCCTCTTCGCTGCAGCCATGTGCTCTGGTCGGTGTCTCCCAGGAGCAACATAGCGTGCAAAAATGCTAAGAGGGTATGCAAGGTCAGGTCGTGTGCAGGTCATCAGGTACATGAGGCAGCCAACAAGCTCTGCATACGGGCCACTCGACTCTACGGACTCATCCGAAGGCAGAGCTGAGAGTGAGTGGCGAGTAGGCAGAGGAGTGACCTGAGGCGAGGAGTACATGAAGTCGAAGCGCTGAAGGACCTGCTGCACCATGTGTGACTGAGTCAGAGTAATGGTGCGGCGTGCTCTGTCCCGGGTGATCTGCAAGCCAAGGTAGCTGCGCAGCTCACCCAGGTCTGTGCACGTGTGTCTCTTCTGCAGCTCGGACTCCACGTAGGCGAGTCCAGCAGTGTCAGCTGTGGCAAAAAACCAAGTCGTCCACGTACACAAGGATGTAGAATGGCGGCAGAGAGGTGTCGGTGCGCAGAAACAGCGACGGGTCGGCAGTAGAAGGAGCAAACCCAAGAGCCGCAAGCGTAGTCCTCAGTGTGTCATGCCACTCGCGGGGCGCCTGGCGGAGACTGTAGACTGGACGCCGGAGACTCCACTGGGTACCAGGAGGGAACGACCCAGTGAAGCCAGGTGGGCGGTGCAGCCAGATCTCCTCGTGCAGGCTGCCCTGCAAGAAAGCTGTGCTAAAGTCAAGAGAGTGCAGCTCGTAGTCACGGTGAGCAGCAACGTGCAGCAGTACCCGAAGAGTGGTCATCTTCGGGGTGGGAGAGAAGGTATGAAAGTAGTCAACTCCCTGTCGCTGATTGAAGCCACGAGCCACGTAACGTGCCTTGAAGACAGGCGGAGAACCCGGCGGCCGCTTCACCCTGAAGATCCACATGCCACTGACGATGTTCGCCCCAGGCGGGGGAACCTCGTCAACGTAGGTGCCTGTGGACTTCCAGGAAGCCATCTCTGTGTCCATAGCTGCCTGCCACTGAGAAGAGTAGGGACCCTCTATCGCCTCCGCGTAAGAGCGCGGAGTCGGGATGTCAAGTGCATCCGGATCTCCCTCAGGGGTAAGCAATACGGACACGAGATGAGGTGAAGCAGCAGCCAGACACTGGAAATCCTCCTGCCTGTCCTCAAGGACGTCTGTGCCAAGAGCACACTCACCCCCGACGGACGGAGGACAGACAGACTCAGACTCAGCGACAAGACTAGCAGCGTAGTCTAGGCGAGAGCGAGCAGCAAAGTCGACGAGCTCAGCAACTAGGGCAGACGCAGCAGTGGACTCAAAGGAAGGGTCAGTGACGACAGTAGCAAGGAGACGCGTGATAGTAGGACTGGCAGCACAAAGAGAGTCCGACTCCGGGTCGGCAAGAGCAGGAAGAGAGGACTCAGGAGGAGAAGGCAAAGGGGCACGCAGAGGAGCTGTGGACGGACGCAGAGACATCCGGTGCGTGCCAAGGACAGGAGGAGGACGCAGACGCGAACGACGTCCACTAGTGCGAGCAGCACGGACAGGCGACGCAGGGTGAGACGCAGGCTCACGACGCTCAGCAAGACCTCCAGTAGGACCAGTGTAGGGAAAAGGAGCAGGCAAAGGGGAGTCCGGCTGTAACCGTAACTGTGACGGGACAGGCTGCGGACACTCTAAGGGAGGAGGAGGACCAGTAGAAGGCGGAAGACCAAGAACCTGCTGAAGGAGCGGAACGAAGTACGGTCGAGGCCGCGCTGCGACTCCAGACACAGCAAGGACAGCACCAGAACCCCCAGCAGGAGCACCAGCGCCAGCAGCACCTCCAGCTCCAGCAGCATCAGTAGCACCCCCAGCAGGACCGCTAGCAGTAGCCCCAGCGCCAACACCCTCAGTAGCTCCAGCTCCAAACGTACCCGCAGGCCCAGCAGCTACAGTACTCCCAGTACGAGCACCTCTGGGACCCGCAACACCAGCACCCTCAGTAGCCGAAGAACCTCCAGCTCTAGCAGCACGGCTCCAGCGCCGGGCAAACCACTCGCGCAGCTCCTGTGGAGAGAGTGGCTCGCGCCGAGACGAAGCACCCGGAGAACCTCCAGGCGTAGCACCTCCAAGCTCAGCACCTCCAGGCCCAGCACCCCCAGGTGTAGCACCCCCAGGCTCAGCACCCCCAGTCAAAGCACCCCCAGGCTCAGCACCCCCAGGCTCAGCACCCCCAAGCTCAGCACCCCCAGTCTCAGCACCCCCAGGCTCAGCACCCCCAGGCTCAGCACCCCCAGGCTCAGCAACCCCAGGAGTAGTACCCGCACGCTCAGCACCCCCAGGCTCAGTAACCCCAGTAGCACCAGAGTCACCAGTAACCTCGACTGGCTCGACTGCGTCTACCTGGGACACACCTGAAGGGGCAGGACCCTGAGGGTGGAGGGGGTCTACCGGGGGGGGACCTGGTACAAGGAAGAGCGGGGGCGGGGGGAGGGACGGAGTGCGGTAGGGGAAGAGGCGCTAGTAGGGGACCGACTCGTCAAACGTGACGTCCTAGGAGGACAGAACACGGCGAGAGGTGGGGTGGTAGAACTGCCACCTTGGCGCGTCAGGGGGGAACCCCAGGAAGACGCAAGGAGCAGCACAAGGGGACAGCTTGTCCGCAGACAAGTCGCGGACAAACGCCCGAGATCCCCAGACACGGAACGCCGACGCATTGCCAACCTTCCCCGTCCACAGCAAGGCTGGGGAGGTCTCCGGCCTGGAGACCCTGGGGTGAAGGTTGATCTGATGCGCCGCGTACGTCACAGTAAACGGCCGCATGCATCATAGACGTATGAGCGACGTCCATGACCATGCCAATGCGGCGCTCAGCAATCCCATTTTGCTGCGGAGAGTCCGTAAGCGTGAAGGTCTGACGGATGCCTCGTGCGCGACATTAGGCTCTCAGAAGGCCAGAGGAAAACTCTCCGCCTCTGTCCGAGTGCAGACGCAGAACAGGAAAGTCCGAGCCGAAGCTCTTCCTGAACTGGAGACGAGCTGCGCGGATCCAGTCGATCAGCACCTCAGTGACATCACCCTTGCTGCGCAAGGGGAAGACTGCGGTGTAACACGAGTAGTCGTCAACAACGAGCAGGAAGTAGCGCTCGTGACCCTGTCCACGGACGCGGGCTGGGCCCCACACGTCCATGTGAAGCGTCTGCAGCGGGGCCTCTGTCGGAGGAAACTGGGAGGAGTGAGGGGCAGCCCGCTGGCGGTGGTGCCAGAGGAGAGTCTCGTGAGACACGAGACGACACGAACAGGGGGCAGACTCAGGACCAGACCTGGACGCTGTAGCAAACACCTTACCCGACGCAGCTACCCGACCAGACTCAGCGACTGGAGGAGACGCAGTGGTCAGTGTGTACAGGCTCGACCCCGGCTGAAGTGTAAACGTAGCCAAGTGTCGGCCTGTCTGAGCCTCAGTGCAGTGTGTCACCCGCTGACTCGCAGGAGTGAACTGGTGCACTCCCCCATCCTGTAGGTCAGCACCACTCACCAAGTTCGTAGAGAACGAGGGGAGGTAAAGACCAGACAGGGTGCCAGAGGGAGCCGCCGGACAAGGGAGGACAGTGGAGAAGTGAGACAGGACAGGACCCCCAGAGGGGTCAGCCAGAGACACCGCAACCGGTCGACTAAGCGGCGTGAGTGTGGTGCGGTCTCGAAAGAAGGAGCGAGAAGCCCCAGAGTCAAGGGTGAAGGTGAGGGAGGCCGAAGCCGACGCAGTACCTGAGAGAGCAGACTCACCAGTACCTGAGGACGCAGACGCACTAGCACCTAGAGCAGCAGCCTCGTAAGCACCTAGGGCAGCAACCTCACCAGTACCTGGAGCAGCAGTCGCAATGCCCGGATCGGGCGGGAAACACCGGTAACAGTCACCCTCATCACTAATAGTCACAGCATACATGGCAGAAAGAATAGCATCAAAGTCAAGATCAAAGATGGCAACTCCCGCCCTAGATAGCTCGCCCTAGCGAGGGATCTCTGTGGCCTCAGGGAACTGGTGACGCCACGCGTCCGTCAGGCGGCCAAAGCAGCGCTGGGTGGAGTGCGCACCCCCACACTGCTCACCCGTAGGACTTAGGTGCACGGACCAAAACCTCCACTATGCTGGCGTGCAGTGTACCACTCACGGAGCTGCTGAGGGGACAAGGTCTCACGACCGCGCTGCTGCTGCTGGCGCGGACCACCACCGGAGCCACTCCTCTGCGCAGAACCGCGACCTGCTCCACCGCCACCTCTGCCGCCTCCGCCACCTCCGCCACCTCCGCCACCTCCGCCGCCTCCGCCACCTCCGCTGCCTCCGCTCCCTCCGCCACCACTGCCTCCGCCTCCGCCTCCACTGCTGCCACCGGTACCCCCACCCCCTACACCACTCCCACCACCACCCCCACTCCCTCCGCCGCCTCCACCGCCGCCTCCACCGCCCCCGCCAGCTCCTCCAGCGCCCTTGCCCCCCTTGCCCCTGCTCGCGCGGCGCTTACCCGAAGGGGCAGACGCAGCACCGACCGACTCTAAACCAACGAGTTCGGCCGCAGCAGCAGAAGCAACAAAGGGCAGGAGGGGGGAGGGAGAACACCCCTCAAAGACAGGGGTGCGGGGGTCACCACGAGAGGCTCCTACAACGACTATGCCCTTCTCCGCTGCTAGGAGGGCCTTCTCGAGGAGGTCAACGGTGAGAGTGGTGGGGCACACTGCGAGGAAGTGGTCCCTGACTACGCGAAGGGAGTCAGGGAGCCGGGTGACTATGTAGTAGAGGGTGATATACATGGGAGGGGGTTCTTGGCACAGAATTCAGCAGGAAGCGCAGCGCGGTAGCGAGTATCACTAGTGCGGAGGTGCGTAATGAGGTCAGCGACTGTGGGAAAGGCAGCAAGGTCAGGGAAGAGGTACGGTAGCATGAGGCGGCTCAGTGCAGCAGTGGCAGGGGAGGAGTAGCGCGCAACTACAGCGTCGTACAAGGTCTGAGCACTCTTGTACTGACTAAAGTGCGCACGCTCAGAGGTAGGGAGGTGGCGACGCACAGCAAGACGTGCAGCAGCATCGCGCGTGGCCCACTGGGAGCGAACAGTGGCGTCAGCATCAGCAGCAGGGGCAGGAGAGGCACCAGAGGTAAGGTCAAAGAGGGAAAGACCGTCTGCCCTATCGCACTGTAAGAAAAGCTGCAGGTCATCTATCCAGACGTCAAAGTCAATGGCCCGACCCTCATCGTCAAAAGCGAGGACACCAGGGGTAGCCATGACAGCAGTAGACTAGCAGCACAGACAGTAGGGTAAGGGCAGTGCAATGACAGAGGCGCTGCTCTCACTAGACAAGGCGGCTCGGGTGGCTCGGCGGTGCGGGCGGCTCGGCAGCAGGGCGGCTCGGCGGCTCGGCTGGCTCGGCTGCTGGGCGGCTCGGCGGCTCGGCGGCTCGGCTTCTGGGCGGCTCGGCTGCTGGGCGGCTCGGCTGCAGGGCGGCTCGGCGGCTCGGCTACTGGGCGGCTCGGCTGCACGGCGGCTCGGCTGCAGGGAGGCTCGGCTTCAGGGAGGCTCGGCTGCAGGGCGGCGCGGTGGTGGGCGGCGTTGCAGCAGGCGACGGCGCCTGCGCCGTAGTGGTGGCGACGGGGCCGATAGGAGACGGCGGCGGGGCCGCAGGTAAGGGCGGCGGGGCCGCAGATAAGGGCGGCGGGGCCGCAGAGAAGGGCGGCGGGGCCGCAGGTGAGGGCGGCGGGGCCGCAGATAAGGGCGGCGGGGCCTTAGGTGAGGGCGACGAGGCCGCAGGTAAGGGCAGCGGAGCCGCAAAGAAGGGCGGCGAGGCCGCAGGTGAGGGGCGGCGAGCCGCAGGTGAGGGCGGCGGGGCCGCAGGTAAGGGCGGCGGGGCCGCAGGTGAGGGGCGGCGGGCCACAGGTAAGGGCGGCGGGGCTGCTGGTAAGGGCGACGGGGCCGCTAGTAAGGGCGGCGGGGCCGTTAGGAGACGGCGGCGGGACCGCAGGTAAGGGCGACGGGCCGCAGGTAAGGGCGGCGGGCCGCAGGTAGGTGGCGAGGCCGCTACGAGAGGGCGGCGGGGCCAGCAGGTAAGGGCGGCGTTAGGGCCGAGTAGGGGCGGCGCGAGGGCCGCGGGGTGGGCGACGAGGTCGCAAGGCGGCGGGTCGGGTCCAGCAAGGGCGGCGCGAGGGCAACGAGGGAGACGACGGGGCCGCTAGGGCGGCGCGACGGGGTCGAGACAGGGGAGCGCGACTCGGGCTAGGGCTGAGCGCGCTCCAGGCAGGAAAATAAAAAAAAACTTTCGAAGTGGTGGGCCCTAGGAACAGTTCCCATGAGGGAACCTGCTCGATACCATGAGAAAACTGAAACGAGAATGAATGAACTATGAAAGAAGTGGGTACAAGTACTAACCCTAATTGGGTTGTACCCCCTATGGGATACCCCACTACAGCCTACACAAATGTATAAGCTATATGATGTTCCGACAGCAGGCCCCGGGGGAAGGGAAGGGAGAGACCGGGGAAGACCAGTGACTAGGACACGGGAGACCATGCCTCGAAGACGAGGCAGGGAGGGGTGACCAAGGCGGTGGTGTCAGAGGAGAGTCTGGTGAGACAGGATGCGACACGAGCAGGGGACAGACCCAAGACCAGACCACGACGCTGCATCGAACACCTGACCAGACGCCGCTACCTGACCAGACTCAGCAGCTGGAGGAGACACGGTAGTTAGGGTGTACAGGCTCGACTCAGGCTGACGGGTAAACGTGGCCAGGTGCCGGCCCGTCCGAGTACACGTACAGTGGGTCACCCGCTGGCCTCCAGGAGTGAACTGGTCAACCCACACGTCCTGCAGGTCAGCTCCACTCACCAAGTTCGTGGAGAACGAGGGGAGGTGGAGACCTGACAGGGAGCCAAACGGGACCGCCGGATACGACAGAACCGTGGAGGAGTGTGCAAGGAGACTCCCACTGGCCGACTGAGCGGCGTGAGCGTGGTGCAGTCACGCAAGAAGTTGCGGGAAGCACAGGAGTCAGGGGTGAAAGTGTGCAAACCCTAAGCCGATGCAGAACCTGAGAGAGCAGACTCACTAGCACCTGGAGCAGCATAAAAGCACTTGAAGCAGCAGACTCACTAGCACCTGGAGCAGCAGACTCACGAGCACCTAGAGCAGCAGTCCCAATGCTCGGGTCGTGCGGAACACATAGGTAACAGTCACCCTCAGCACTAATAGTCACAGCATACATAGCAGCAAGGATAGCATCATAGTCAAGATCAAAGATGGGAACCCCCGACCTAAACAGATCACCCCAACGAGGAAGTTCCATGGCGTCAGGAAACTGTGCACGCCAGGCGTCAGACAGGCGGCCGAAACAGCGGTGCACGGTGTGCGGCCCTCCGCACGTCTCCCCACTGCGCGCACCGGTGCGAAGAACGTAGGTACACGGACCAGCACCCCCTGTCCTCCCACGCCCAACGTACCACTCACAATGCTGCTGGGGCGACAGGGTCTCACGCGTGCGCTTCTGCTGGTGGCGCTGACTCCCACCAGCGCCTCCTTGCTGCACAGCTCCACCCCGACCAGCACCACTGTCGCCACCGCTCCCAGTGCCGCCGCCGCCACCGCCTCCACCCCCACCGCCACTGCCACCACCACCCCCACCTCCACCACCCCCACCTCCACTCCCACCCCCTCCGTTGCCTCCAACGCCACCACCACCGCCCCCGCCATCCCCTCCAGCACCCCTGCGGCGTCTCCCACTAGGGGCAGACACAGCGCCGACCGACTCGGTGCCAACGAGGTCGACAGCAGCAGCGGAGGCAACAGAGGGCAAAAGAGGGACTGGGGAGCACCCCTCAAAGAAAGGGGCACGAGGGTCACCACGAGAGGCTCCTACAGCTACGATGCTCTTCTCTGCTGCCAGGAGGCGCTCCTCAAGGAGGTCAACAGTCAGTGTGGTGGGGCAAAGGGAGAGGAAGTGGTCCCTAACCGTGCGAAGGGAGTTAGGGAGCCGGGTGACTAGGAAGTAGAGAGTGATGTACATAGGGGGGGGGGGGTTCGCAGCGCAGAACTTAGCAGGAAGCGCAGCGCGGTAGCGGGCGTCACTGTTGTGGAGGTGCGTAATGAGGTCAGCGATAGTGGCAAAAGCGGCAAGGTCAGGGAACAGGTATGGTAACATCAGGGAGCTAAGAGCAGCAGTGGCAGGGGAGGAGTAGCGCGCAACAACAGCGTCGTACAGAGCCTGAGCGGACTTGTACTGGTGAAAGTGCGCGCGCTCAGCAGACGGCAAGTGACTGCGAGTGGCAAGACAGGCAGCAGCATCGCGCGTGAGCCACTGCGAGTGAACACTACTGTCAGCATCAACAGCAGGTGCAGCGGAGGCGCCAGACGCAAGGTCAAACAGTGGGACACCGTCCTTAGAATCGCACTGGAGGAAAAGTTGTAAATCATCGACCCAGACCTCAAAATCTACTTCTCGACCCTCAGCATCAAAGGTAAGGACGGTAGGGGTAGCCATAGCAGCAGGAACAGCAGTAGCGGCCTAGCAGCAGCAGCAGCAGCAGCAGTCATAGCGCGACTCAGTGGGGTAGCACGTACAGGCAGGGCGGCACGGCTCGGCAGGGCGGCGCGGCTCGGAAGGGCTCTTACCAGGAGGGCCGCAAGTGGAGAGGCGGCGGCAGTAGGGGCCGGGAAAGCAGGGCCACACCAACAGGGGCCGCGACAGCAGGGCCGCAAAGGCAGGGGCCACGTCGGTAGAGCCGCGTCAGCAGGGGCCGCGTCAGCAGGAGCCACGTCAGCAGGGGCCGCGACAGCAGGGCCGCAATAATAGGGGCCGTGTCAGCAGGGGCCACGTCAACAGGGGCCGTGACAGCAGGGCCGCATCTGCAAGGGCCGCATCAGCAGGGGCCGCGACAGCAGGGCCGCGACTGCAGGGGCCGCGTCAGACAGGGGCCGCGTCAGGCAGTGTGACGACTGCAGGGGCCGCAAATAGCAGGGGCCGCGACTGCAGGGACGGGCCGTGACGGCGGGCACGGGGGGGCCACGGGATCGGGTAGGGCCGCGACGCACAGTAGGGCCGGCCGCGATGACGGGGCAGGAGGGCCGCGACGAGCGGCAGGGAGGGCCGCGACAAGTGAGCGGGCGGCCGCTAAAGGCGGCCGAGCAGGCCGCGTAAGGGCGGCGGCTACGGGCTTGGATGGGCCGCGACGAACGGTCGCCAAGGGCGGCGGCGGCAGGCCTTTAAGGGCTGTGATGGCCGGCCGCTAAGGGCAGCAGCGGCCGGCCACTAAGGGCCGCGACTCGCCACGAAGAAAGGCCCGAGCGCAAAGCGCGCTTCGGGCAGGGCGGGGAAAAAAAACGATGTTGGTGGGCCCTAGGAAAACGGTCCCACTAGGGAACCTGCTCAATACCATGTGAGAATAGAATGAGGAATGAAATGACTAGAAAGCAGATGGGTACAAGTATGAAACCTAAAATTGTTGTACGCCATAGTATGTTCCCCACTATAGCCTACAAAGACTACAGCATATATACTTTGACACCTCGTTGTCGCGTAATTGTCGCCTTGGCCCTCCATGCCTGACATTGCGCGTTCGAAAACCGAAATCGAGGGGGAGTGAAAAACACGGAACCGGCTTTACGTACCCGAAATCGATGTTTAACAGTCGTCGCCCCCGCGGTTTTTGAAGACTCGGTTTTAGCAGTTGAAAAAACTTTGCGTGTAAACGGCTCTGATTACCAAGCGTGAGGATCTAGGATCGAGCTCAGAAAAGAGAATGTGAATTGAATGAATCACTTGGGTACAACACGAGGCTATATATAGGCTCGACACAAGGCCCAGTAACCAGGTGTTACGCGAAGGTTCCGAGAGTCGCGAAGTGTCCCGAACAGACCCTTCCCCCGAATTCGGTAGAAGGCAATTCGGTGGCAACCGAAAAGCCCGGAACTCGGTGCATGTAACCTAGCTCGGTGCAATAGCTATAATAAAATTAGGGATGAGCATAAGGCAAACGCGAACATGTTCGCGTTTGTCTTAGCTCGAACAGGGCTGTTCGGCGAACCGAAGTTCGCCCATAGAGGCGAACATTTCGAACGTTTTGTCGGAGTGTGTGACCCTCACCAGCACTTGCTCTTCTTCCTGTTGTTCTTCTTCAACACTCCCTGCTCTGTGCTGCCCTGCCTCAGTCACTCACTGAACGGGATCACTCCCTCACCCCACGGGTTCCTTCTTAGTGCTGTGCCACCGCGTCTAGTAGCTAGGATAACAGCCCTGCACTAGTATGAAAGAATACTGAACAATAGGCATCGAGTGAGTGGGCGTGGGTGACCTTACCCAACCTCGGCTTGCACATTTCCAATGTGCGGCTCGAGGTTGGGATTTGTTCGAATCCCACATTTCGCCCTTCGGTGCTTTTCCCCCTTCATCCCAACCGCTCCCACATATTTCCCCCTTTCTGCACCCCTTTGCAACCGACACTTCGCTACTGGCTACACCTCCTACACTACTTCTTATCTATCTACCTCAATGCATTCTTAGCTATTTGCTATACTACTTCACAGCACCGCACTCTACTGTTATTGCATATGCATCCCTTGCATATGCGGTGACAGCTGTCGGAGTGTGTGACCCTCACCAGCACTTGCTCTTCTTCCTGTTGTTCTTCTTCAACACTCCCTGCTCTGTGCTGCCCTGCCTCAGTCACTCACTGCCCCCTCCTGTGCCCGTGCTTGGGTAGCTCGAGCTCGTGTCACATGACCAGCTTGCTGAGGCTTGCTCCCCCTCACCAGGGCCGTGTTGGTCTGGTGCTCCTTCAGCTGTGCCCCCTTTTCGTTCTCCAGCACGAGAATACCCGAGGGCCGAACTTCCTTCACTCTCCACCTCTCGGTCCCCACCCCGACGTCCAGCGTGTCCTGTTTTGCCCTTTTCAGGTACACCTCCTGCCCCTCACTTGCTCCCTTTTTCTCTCTCCTTACCAACATCCCCTGCTGCTGGCGTTGCTCATAACGTCTGGCGTCTCTCAGCTGTGCCGTGTGTAGGTTTTCTAGCGCTGCTGGCATTATCACTCGGAGGTACCTTGCTCTGGCCTCTGACAAGGCCACCCAGTTGTCTATGGTGCCTGCTGTCACTGTGTCCGTGAGGACCCGTGGTGCCCCCACAGGTAGCATCGGCTCACAACCAAACAGAAGGCTGTAGGGTGAATGGTCTCTCAGGGTTGCCTGCTTCCCAAACCTATATCCTGCCGCAATCCAGTGTAGCTCATTGTCCCATTCCCGCTTCCTTTTCTCCCCATATGCCCGTAGCCCTCGCTTCAACGTCTGCACTAGGCGCTCGGTCAGCCCATTACTCTGTGGGTGATACCGAGAGGTGCGCCTGTGGGTGATTCCCGCTTCCTCTAACAGCTCCCTGAACTCCCTTTGAAACTCTGTGCCTTGATCGGTGAGCACCTCTGCACACGCCCCAAATCTGCATATTACTTGCTCCTTGAATGCTGCTGCCACATGTCTTGAGCTCTTGCTGGGGATAGCCCTCACCTCCAGCCACTTGCTCACGTGCTCCACCATGAGCACTATGTACCGTTTCCCCCCCCGGCTCAGCGGCAGTTCCCCCGCCAGGTCCAAGGACCATCTGAAGCCTAACCCGCGGATGGGCAGGGACTGCAGCTCGGCCTTGGCTTGGGTCAGGTTTGCTCTACTCCTTTGGCAGGCCTCACATCCCTCCACCCACTTCTGCACCTGCCTGCGCATTCCCTCCCACCACCAGCCCGTCTTCAACAACTGCACTGTCCTCTCATGCCCGAATTGCCCCAGCTTTGAGTGCACCTCCTTTATCACTGCTTCCCTGTCACCTGGGGCCGGCACCAGCTTCCACCCACCCTCGGTCTGTATCTGCAACTGCTGCTGGTACCACCTGTAGTGGTGCCCCCTTGCTCTCACCCTCTCGCTCATCTCCTCGTCTGCCCCTGTCTCTCCCTTCACCCATCTCACAGCCTGCTCATCCTCCTAGATATCAGCCGGCCCCTTGCTCCTCCTGGCCCCGCTCAGCTCCACCTGTCTGGCCAGCAGCGCAAGGGTCACTGTTGGCTCTAGCGGTGGGGGGTTACGGGAGAGGCCGTCCACATGCTGCAAGGTTTTTCCTGGCCTGTGCTTGATTTTGAAGTCATACTCCTGCAGCTTCATTGCCCATCGTGCATTCCTGCCTGTTAACCCTGGTGTAGTCATCAGCCATGTCAGTGGCTGGTGGTCCGTCACCAGGGTGAACTCCCGCCCCTGCAAGTAGACCCTGAAGTGCCCCACAGCCCATACTGCCGCCAGTCCCTCCCCTGTGTACGAGCTGTACTGTGCCTCCGCCGAGTTGCAGCTCCTACTCGCGTAGGCCACCACCTTCTCATCCCCTTCCACCTCCTGGCAGAGTATCCCGCCCATCCCTTGGCTGCTCCAGTCGGTGTAGAGGGTGAAGGGTTGGTCCGCTGCTGGCAGCTGCAAGACGGTTGCTGTTTTCACCGCCGCCATCAGGTCCTGCAATGCCCCCTTCTGCGCTTCCCCCCACTCCCATGTCTTGTCCTCCCTTAACAGTTCGTTCAACACCGCTGCCCGCCTGCTGAAGTTGGGCACAAATCGCCGGTAGTAACTCAGAAACCCCAACACCGCTCTCAGCCTTGTCTTGTCCTTTGGTTCTCGCAGCCTATCCAGCACCTCCACCTTTGCTTGCTGGATCCCGATCTGCCCCCCTGTCACCTCGTAGCCCAGATACTGAACGGTCTGCTCACCCCACCTACACTTCTTCGGGTGACACGTGAGTCCTGCTGCTTCTATTGCTGCCAGTGTCTTCTCCACATCCTGCAGGTGCTGCTGTTCGGAGGTGCTGAAGATCACCACGTCATCTATGTAGCACGCTGCACATTCTACGTCCCTCAGCACTGCATCCATGACTCTCTGAAACACTGCTGATGCGTTCCTCAGCCCGAATGGCATGTAAAGCCACTCGTACAGCCCATCCGGCCCGTGAAATGCCGTCTTCCTAACGTCCTCCTCCTTGATTTTTATCTGATTGAACCCCTGCCGCAGGTCCAGCGTCGTGAAGAACACCCCCTCTGCTAACTTGTCAAATATCTCCTCCGCCATCGGCATTGGGTACCTGTCCGCCACGGTAATCTTGTTGAGCGCTCGGTAATCTCCGCACATCCTCCTGCTCAGGATCTCCCCTGTTAAGTCCTTCCTCGCTGCCACCACTGTTGGTGTGGCGTATTCTGATTCTGAGCGCCGGATCAGTCCGGCCGCTAGCAGCTCCTTAATCTTCTCCTTGCATATCTCTTCATCTCCGTGCGGCATCTTCCTACGCCGTTGGAACACCGGCTCTGTGCTGCTCAGTTTCAGCTCCATCTCCTTCATTTTGCACCTTCCCAGTTCTTGCAGTGTGAAGGCAAAGCACTTCCTATGCTTGGCCAGCAGTCCCAGCATAGCTTCCCTTCCCTCTTCACTCATCGCTTCCCCCAATGTCCACTTCTCTCACTCCTCCTC